CATGAACAGCAAACGGCGACGACTAAGGAGCACTTGACAATCGCAGTCTCTCTCGAGGTAGGTTTGAAGGCAACCTGACAGCTTTATTACAAAGTGTTTCACTACAGTTGTAAGGCCTGCGTTGGATTGACTACTGCCTGCCGGTAATGTACGTACAAGTAAGGGTAGTGACGTATACGGAATGGGCTCAATATCCGTGGTCTTCGGTCTTTCTAAAGCAAACTTTCTAAGCAAAATGATAGTCTTTTTAGCTCTCGTGGGCTAATTACGAGTTTATCTCCTTATCCGTCGTAATTATTACTCCCATCCATATTCGAGCTATGGTAAAATGTAAGTTGGTCGTCCACGTCAGATACCTCTAGTCCCAAAATTCTGTCTGGTGATATTAGTTTAGTTTATTTTTTAGTTTTTTAGTTTTTTTTAGTTAGTTTTGCTTAGTTTAGTTTAATATATAATAGTTATTTATCTAACGTTGGCGGCATCTAATTGAACTAAAACGGAAACTAAACCTAAAATTAAACTGGTAAACTAAATAATGAAGCAAACTAAACTAAAACTACTTAAATAAAAGCAACCACAGGGCTAGAGGCTAGGGGTATCTAAGGTGGTCCACCAACTTATCTGTTATCAAGTTATGTGATCCAATTAATATCCACGTAATGAGCTATTTAATAGCCTATTTCATTACTTCGGGGGCTCTTCGCCGAAGTTATCATTTTGTGGTCGTTCCACTGGATAGAAGCGGTAAGGTGCATACAGACCATAGTAAAGTCTATACCTCGACAATCACAAGCACGGTAAGCAGCATAAGAGCAATGACACTGCTAGGAGGCATTTTTTCCTGTATAGTATTGGTGCGGCAGAGTCTCGACAGACAATTCACGCTGGTTGAGGTGATCGCAAGGTACGCTGTATCGGAGAGGGTTTGAGTGAATAGGCGTGCGAGTAAGTCAGCGTCGAAAAGTCTAAAAGTTATTCCTGAAGGTTTGTTATCAGTTGAATGCGCTAATGCCTCCAGGATAGAACTGAGGGGACTTGAGGC